TCTGCATAATTGACATAACTATTACACTATGAAAAAAAAAAGAAAAATTCTTGTTTATACGGCCATTCTTTTGACTGTATTTAGTCAAAAAAAAGTTAAAGAAAACGAAGATAAAAGTCTAAAATATTTGATTTTCCAAAACCGATAAAGTGAATTAAATGAAAAACATTAAGCTATGTCTATCAATCATACCAGCAAAAAGATCAATTCCTGTTTATTATTTAGAATGGAAACCACAGTGCCAAAAATAAAGCTGCTTAACAGATAATATCACCAAATTTTCTTTTCAGTATAGAGCAGAAACAAAATATGTTGATTCTGAAACAATGCAAAAAAATTTTTTTTACTTTTTTAGACATAGTTTAGTTTAGCTTTTTATTTTTAATTTTGCTCTGCCTTCTCAATAATTTTATTAACGACAGTAGGATAATTGATAACCTTAACTGGTTTTTTAACATTCATTATTTGTAGCTTACGATCATTATAAAAATAATTTTTTTTGATTCGGACAAAGTTTTTTAGAAATAACGGTGTTATAACCTATTCTAATCAGCAGACTTACTTTATTTACCCATTCAAGGCTGAGTACACTAGTTGTTTATCAATTCATAACTGTATAACGTAGAATAGACATCTACTATTTCGCTTAATAAACGCTTAGCATAAGCCTGTGAAACGCACGATATAGTCAATTCAAAAATCTAGTGCTTAACGCTTGTTGTAATCCCTACGTTCATTCAAAGCTATTTCGGTCTTAAAAAAATTGCACACAAACATTCACAGATATGATAAATAAATTCTTTTATTTGTTTTTTGAGGATGCCTAGACACTGTAGAGCTTTAAACGTCTATAAAAGGCAGCTGAATATAACTGTCAGTCATCACCACATATCCAACTTAAATTCGTATATCTTTTGTGAAGTACAGCTAAAGTTGATAGATAATGACTCTTCTTCGTTTTCAACTTTTAGTGCTGTTATTGGTTACAACAGTTATTTCAATCTTTGCTCAAAACTTAACAAGTTAATGCTTTCAAGCGTTAAATTTCAATGTTACAGAGAACAAAAATATTATTTTAGAAATTTAAATTGGAAACTTTACTTTCACTAACAGCGATGCAGCTGCAAATCTTCTTGTTCCTGGCATTATTTTTATTTGCATTTGCTAATGCAGAAATCTATCTGTCATCTTGCGCTCGTATGGATACCCCAGTTTTGTCAAAGGTAGCACAAGGACTCTGCATCAGTTCTTGTAAATATCAGGTATAATTAACGTCATTAGTCATAGTTCTGAATAAGGTAACCAATAAAAAAATTGACTAATAAAGTATTATAGTTAAAATTAGCATTTTTAGAAATTTTTGATAAACAGAAAAAAATTATAAGCTTTAATAAGCGAAAATTTCAATTTCTCAAGCATCGTTCTTTTTTCAAAATGTTTTTGGTTTAGGCTACATAGTTTGCTTTTATACATTTAAAGTTTTTGGTTTTTTTCTGTTCAATATTATTCAATTTTTCTATTTAATGTACTGCATACCGGTTTAAGGCGATAGGCATAATAATGCTAAAAAATTTTTACTCTTTCTATCTCTTTAGAGACTGGGATACACAAATAACTTATTCTGTCAGGGAAGTAAGATGCTAAACATTTGAAATAACATAGGTGTAGCTGCAGTAGGAAATGTTATTAAACAGTATCAAGAATTTTAGCAGAATAATCTATTTAAGAGATGTAAAACCAGCAGTTTAGTAAAAGAAAAGTTAAGAGGTCGACGAATACTTTTCCAGAACTGCGGCACCGGCAGCTGCAAAAAACGATCTGGTAGAACAGTATGTGTCTGCAATCGTTGTGCGAATGGTGGTGGTGAGTGGCCAAACGTACCGTCAGTCAGTGTTAAGAAAGGCAGAAAATAATAATGATGAAGAAAAGAAGCTTAATTTCAAATTTGAGTCGGGTTTATGTAATTACTTTGACAGTCTTTAATAATAAAAGATGAAAAAAAAACTGTGAAGTACAACAAGTTTTCTTGTTTTATTCACACCATAAGACTGCCCCTGCAATATTGTTCCATCGTTCCAATTCAGCCAAATGTATACCTATACTAATTCTAAGCTTTTGGTAGTTTATACTTGATTACTGCGTACCACTTTAACTTGCCCTGCCTCGACTGCAAAAAAAGTCGAGAAAAAGTCCACTTTTAGCAAACTTTACTAGCCTTTTCAATAGAAATGCTGTACAAGACAGTCACTGTAATAGTAGTATTTGTGACTGTCAACCTTTTAGACACTCTAAAACTTTTACGGTTTTTCGTAACGCCAAAAAACTGCAGTATAATTAGAGTATATAACATTAAAAAATTTCTCATAAGAAATCTTGCCAAAAGGATATTTTCTCCTACGTTCAAAAATTAATAAGAAATGAGCCATCATAAAACATGACTAAATTTGGCAAATTTGCTCAGTCGCCTTTGAAAACAATAGTTTCTCCTGCATATTAGAATTCCTTTAAAATTATTCTAAAAGCAACAGAAAACAGCGAAGCCGGAAATAATGGTATAACTGACTGTGTAGGAGATGTATGCATTTATTAACCGACGAAGTAGTTTTTACTTGAAACAGATAATGATTTGGTGCTAATTTTTGAACGACGCTGATACCGAATAAGTCAATTAATGAAAACAACTATGTTTGTCATAATGCATCGAGTTTTGTAAAACTAAGCTAAAGGTGTTAAACATACCGTAACAATGTGCGACTTTTGAACAGCATAAAATTAAAAAGAAAAGACAGCGGAGTAGTTGAGCAAAGATTGGAAAACATTGAAGTATCGGTTATTCAGTGGAAAATAGCTATTGTTTTTTGGAGCAGTTACAATGCAGCAATATTTGTAAAATTTCGATATATGTTGAACTAGTTGTTCTGTTCTGATAGAAATTGTGTTGTCAGAATGTTATCAGGTTTTCGACGAGTACCTCACTTTATACAGCAGTATTTCTAGATGAAAAATATTGGAGAAAGAGTAAAGTGTAACTGAGATATGCGCTAAACATAACGCTTAACTATATTTTATAATTACTTCACTTCCTATACTCTGCAACACCTTTTTTTCAGCTATTAACTTTTATCAATAACAGCAGTTTTCTTCAAAGATTTTTAGTGTTGACGAACCATTTTTTCCTATTCTTTTACAAATTAGAGTGAAAATCCACATTGCTTATGTTTTTTTTATTCAAATGTGCTTTGGACAGGAAACTCCATTTCCTGCTGCCGATTTCCAAGTTTGACTGGAGAACTGTCTGGATATATTTATGACAGTCTAACATCGAATAAGCAAATTAAATTTTCTGTTACATAACTCATAAGTTTTACATTTCTCTCTTTGACGGAATTTCATCACTCGTTGATTTCGTAAACCGAGTTTTGCGCCAATTAAATGGTAAAGTTGAGTTTTCACTGTACAACGATAAAATTTTGTCATACCTCCTCGTATCAGAAATTCAAAGTGACAAAAAAGAAATTTTTGTCCTCACCTCATTTTCAGCGTTGACAGCCACTTTTTTTTCTCCTCTTATTGTCATCGATTTGAGAAGAAAAACAGTAGTTGGTGTTACACAACTTCTACTCGATTCGCCGAACAATGGCTCATTAAAACTGCGGAATATTCAGGAAAAATGAGAAAAAGATATTAAACATTTCAAAAGTTGTAGTTAGCAATAACTTCCTTAATCGATGTCAAAATAAATCTTGGACACAGTGAAGCATTTCATTCAGCTTTCTTAGATGAAAGTTTCCGATCGGAACGTCAGATTTAACTGCTTTTTTCAGCAAATTTTACTAGAAGTTCACTAGACCTAAGAGCTTAGACCTTTAGAAAACTCTTACCGATGCTGATATAATTGAACAATAAACAAATTTCTTTTTTTTTTTTATTTGAACAATGAGTACTTATTCCATTTAAAAGTGACATTCAACTCTATTTTTAGGTATTAATGTAAGTAAACTGTAAAAAAGTTTCAAATCATTGTTTTTCTTTCAATGCATATTTATTAGCACGTAATTTTCGATTACTCCATGTTTTTTTTCCAAGCAGTAGCTCTCTAAGTCGATGCAGTTTATTTATTCTAATTGCTTTAGCGAAAAGTAGCTTTAATGCAATATTTGCCGTTTTGTGATTTATCAAACAGTTATTTCGGTCAGCAAAACCATTGCAGACAAAAGATACAACGATCGCAAGTGTGCTATGATTATTGAACGACAGCCAAATGGCCTATTTGGTAATAGGCCAGTAAAAGAAACGTGTAAATTTAAACAGGGTAAAGATTGGCAGTGACAAATAGTTAAAAATCAGTCTCTTAGCATTGGCTAGTTTATTAGAAAGTCTACATAGAATATGGCAAAAAAATGATGTGATCGAACGAGTAAGTGTTGAAGTACTTAAGCTGCCAGTTGAAATATCGTTGAGCGATAAGCAGACAAATGCATCAAATTTTTTTCTTTGTATTCTTCCAACTTAAACCTTCGATTATTTTAAATAACGTTTTTAAATCTCAAATAAGTTTCTTGTTCATTGTTGCTTCTCTTGGAAATTCTGTATTTTAAAACCGAAATTTTAAATTCAGTTATTAGAAGGGAAGGAATTATTCATTTTTCCAATTTTTTGCTGTTACTAGCGATACATTCAAATTTTTTTCATAGTTTTTCATGTCTTTTAAGTCTTTTTTTCTACTCTTCGTTTTCTTCTATATTACTCATTTAAAAATTTTCACATAAAACACTTTTTGGCAATTTTAAATGCATATTTGACATGCGATTTCGCTTTACTGTCTTTTTGCTTTTTCCTTCCTTTTATCAAGTTTTTTTGGATAAGGAAAAACGATTTATCTGTGCTTACACATGTTGAAAAAAAATAAAAAAATTTCTAGATTTATAGAAGAAAATGCATTGAGCAGTTTTGGTGATGGAAGAAGTTGAAAAGTATAAACGTTGTATCCGTTATCATTTATCTTCCAGATTTGTTTTTTTTTTTTTTTTTTTTTTTTTTTTTTTTT